ATTTATAATCAAATTAAATATATATCACATTTCATGTATGAAAATGATTTAAAAGACAAAAATAAAATTAATAAATATACAACTGTGGTTGTTTGATGTTATACCAATCACCAAACTTTTTCTTTTTCTTTTTGGCATGAAATGGAAACAAATCAATTTCCTCATCATTCATTCACTTATTTTTTATTTTTTTCTTTTTGCTTTTCAAAAAAAAGTTCATTAGTAGTTTGACTATGGAGACGATGGTAGAGCCCTTCTTAACAGGATAAAGTTGTTACAGGGGTCTAATTAGGTTTTATATGGGCTGGGGCCCAATGTTGGCCCACTCTTTAATGGTAATGGGCCCTCTATAAAAATATGGGCTTCATCCTAGATCCAAAATACAGACACATTACTCAAATTTGTCCATGAAACCTATAGTTTACAAATCCAATGAAGCTTCAATGTTTTGAAACAAGTAGTTGGAAACATGAGATGGGTACTGGGTTTATGTATTATTATTTTATTTGTTCACATTAAATCATATTAAGTTCTAGAAATGATCGCTTAAAGGAGCTCCAATTGAGACAGAAACATTATAAAATGCTAAAATAATAATTAATTACATATCCACCAAACATTTTTGCTTTATTTCTCCTTAATTCAAGGAGGCATCGGCTAACTAAACATCCGTTTAAAAAAAAAAAATTTTAAAAAAAAGCAAACCAACCAACTAACCAAAAAATTTATGTGATTTTAATTATACGCAAATTACGCTATTATTATATTATTTAACTCTTCAGAATTTCAGACTAACTTCACTTCTATTACTCTCTTCACCCTCCAATCTCCGCCCCCACGATCCTCTCCCTATAATTCTTCTGTTCTCGCCATTTTGACCGCCCTCCGATTTCTCCTCCTCCAAGCTCTCCGACCGCTCCGCCGTGTCCCTCACCTCCGAAGCCGGCGAGATTTGGGCCGCCTTCGTGGGCTCCCCCTTGTATAAATGCACCTGATGATGATGTTGCTGCAGATGCGGCGGCGCTATCGTTCTCGTATAATATTCTTGCGGCACTGAAGCCGGGGTGTAGAGGTGGGAAGGCGGATGTGACGTGGCGGGTGGGCCGTACAGGGTGGGTGACCTCGCATACTCTGGTGGGACCCATAGCCCGCCTAGACCGAGTACTACGAGCTGAGCCGCTGGCGACCCAGATGCTTGTGGGGCCAAACCGGGGCGTCTCACTGTGTGGAGCCGGTATTTCTGAGAGTATACGACAAAATTAACGCAAATTAAAGATGGGTAATATAAATTGCGGGGATAAAAAGCTGACCTGGAGATGGCTTTTTACTTCATCGTTCGTCAAACCGTCTACTTTCATCAACTCTCTGATCTGCTTTGGTGTCGCAACTGTTTTAAATTTAATAAAAATTATAAGATGTTATTAATTTGGTTAGTAATCCCGACTCTCCACGCAATAGTATGATATTGTCCACTTTAAACATAATCTGCAGTAACTTTGTTTTAAGCTTCCCCGCAAAACTTCATTGTTAATGGAGACAATATTTCTCACTTATAAATTCATGTCTTTCATGCCACTAAATTAGTCGATGTATACCTTGAGAGCCACCAAGCATTTGAAGAGCATTGACGAATCTCCGGTGCAAGTCCGGCGACCAGCATCGTCTAGCCTTCCGGTGTGTCTGAGTCGTAGTTGAACTCATTGTCGGAGCCAATCCCACCTCCCCTGCTCCACGTTCAGTCCTGTCCTCCGTCGCCGTTACTATCCCACCATCAACGCTATTATTAGTATCACCACAATGATTCTTCTTCTCCTCCTTCTCACCTTTCTCCAGTAACTCCATTTCCGCCGCCACCCCATTCACGCCGCTTCCGCCAACACCCAAACCCGGCTCCAAGTTTCGATCTTTATCGAACGGAACAAAAGCTCCATTACTAACTCTTTGTTTAGGAGTGTCTGAATTATCATTATTATTATGGGAATGAGGTGGATCAGTATATTCCTTATTTGCTTGACTCCAAAGCTGAAGTGACGTCATCCAATTTGCCTTATCCGACAATATTGCGGGCGGCTTTTCATCATCCACGGTTGTGGAGTTTTTGAGCGGCATGAATTCTTCCAAAACCGGCTTGGATGGCGGCGCCTCCATTGCCTTGCAGGCCTGCAGCTGTCTCCTGGACGTCTCCACAGCTACAAACATACCAAATTTAGCAAACTACAAATACAAAGAAAGTGGAAGATTTAGATATAGATAGTACCGTTGGTCAAAAGCTGCATACAAAGGGGAAGCTCCCGTTTGAAGACATCAATTTTAAGGCGCTCTTGTTCAAGGCGAGAAACGAATTCCTGAAGCTTATAATAGAAGTCATGGGAATTAGGCGCCACTTGGTGTTGGTCTCCAAAAGAATATTGAAGCAGCATGGAATAGCTTTGAACTTGACATTCCAAGCTGAGCTGAGTAGACGCCATAAACTAATTAACTCAACTCCTCCGATGATACCAATTTGGCGTTTGAATGAATGAATGAATGAATGAGAGAAAATGGGGTGTTGTGTTATAATGGGTGGATTCTGGAAGGGAATAAATTAAAGCAGGGCCTTTTTTTAGAAAAAGGAAGAGGATGAAGAGGAGTAATGGTACGTAGCTCATTTCCTGTAAACAACAAAAGCCAACGTCACCCACCCAATTCTAGCATTACAATCCAATCTGGGACCCTCACTCACTCTGGGTTTTCTAAGCCCACATTAATTTTATTTTATTTTATTTAATTAATTTCATAAAAAAGAAAGACGATTCTTCTTTTCTTTTCTTTTCTTTTAAATTTAGTCATCTCTCTTTTTCTTCTTCTTTTTTTTTTTTTTTTTGCTTTCTTGCTTTTATGTAAAATGATGTGATTAATTTATGAATAAATAAAAATAAAAATAACTGGAATTAATTAAAGGAGGGGAATCTTGGTCTGCTATCCCACTTTAATGAAGGTAATAAGATTCTCACTAAAATTTAGACCAACCTTTTATCTTTCTGGGTTTCTGAACCATATTTGCATGGCTGTTTGGATCTGGGTGGAACAAACCAGAATTCACTTTTTCACTTTTTGTTTTTTTTTATCCTTCCAATATAAATATATTGTATTTTATTCACAATATTTAGTTCATTTATTTCTCATTCAATCTTTTTTCAAGGTAAAAATGGCTGTTCAATTGAATCTTTACATTTTTCAATTACTTGTATATGGTTCATTAACAAGCTTATTTGTTAAAGAAAAAATTGAATATGTTAAAAGAGATTTCTAAAGTTTATAATTTATTTATTTGAGTTGATAGGCGAATGAGGAAGCTTGTGGTAGAAGCTCCTTCCAAGCAAGGACTTTATGGGGGGTGTACCGTATTGGAGAAAGAAAAGGGAATAAAATTAAAAATAAAGAGATTCTCCTCGTGACACGTGTCGCAATATTCGGTTTGAATATCCTTTTTGTCTGGCGCCCACACCCAGGAATATTCCCTCTTCTTTTTGGAAAGATTAATTTTGTCTCCAAATTCTCTTATTAAGTTTTTTTTTTTTTTTTTTTTTTTTTTTTTTTTTTTTTTTTTTTTTTTTTT